ATGAACCACCTAGATGTCAATACTGCTCTGCTACTAGGTAAAAGCTCCTAACTCAAATTTATTGGAAGAGCAGTGAAACTTCTGCAAAGTGCACTTTTAAAAAGAGGTACTTTTTGCTTATGAAAAGAAACCTGTGAATCTTCTAACAATAAGGAAAGGGAGTATTTTACAGTTAAGCACATGATTTGGAGTGAAGAATTCTGACACTGCTCTGCTGGTCCAGGGTGTTAATACTCTTTTTGTTCCTCCTGGGGACCCCTTCATCGGGTATCACAAAGCTTTTGTCTGTGGCGTAGAGAATGTCTACAATTCTCTGCAATGTGGCGTCATTTCCCCCCTTATTCTCCTGAGAAATCAATTCAACGTTCCTTAGCTTTCCGAAGTAGAAATCTCTTTCTCCAAGTCTTCAATGACAAGTTTCAATACGTTGACCTGCTGCATCAGTTCAGCTGCTTCATCATCCCCGTTGCCCACACTAGGATTCTTCCGCACCGCCCCGGGGCCAGCCTTACGAGTCACAGTAGTCCTCTGTGTTGAAATGGGTCTCTGTGGAGCTGCACTGATAGAGCTGAGAGGTTTCTTCAGTTTATTCAGAGCTGGAGCAACAAGGGAGGGAGCCACTGCAGTTTCCAGACCTTGTCTGGCGGCTACAGGGTCATACTCTTTTCCATTGTAGTTTGCATCAAAAAACTTCTTGAACCACTGAACGAATTCAAAATTGTCCTGAAACTTTCCTTTTACTAATTTATCAACAGGAATTATTTTGTCAACACCCATCCTTTTAAAACCTGCTTGCTGGGCCAGGGATTTAGCTCAAAGCGCAAGGACCCGAGTTCGATCCCCGGTACAAAAAAAAAAAACCTGCTTGCAGTATTTTGAAGTTCTGGATATATTCATGTTCTAGCTTAGCTTGGAATTTCACTTTCTTCAAGGCAATGGACCCAGGAAAAAACATGTCCATAAACTGACAATAGGCAGCCCCTTTCCAAAATATGTGATGACTTGGTCTCCAAAAAAGGAAGATTATAGAATTAACAATGAATCTTGAAACAAACTGCCAACTCATCACCAAAACTTACCCTTCCTCTGGCTGATTTCTTGAGAGCAGCCATTCTTTCTGGGGTGAGGTGGAATCTCAGTGTTGTGTTCATGTGCACCTTTTT